AAACAGAGACACGTGTGTTTATTGCTTTGTTTGCGTGTGTATGCCATGATTGGTATAAGAAGCTATAAGTTCCATCATTTTAGCTTTTCAAGCAAACAACTTATAAGAAACTAGATTACCAATGGAAATTGAGCCTAGTGGAAAGAAACTAATCCTTCACAATGTGTTTATTGCTTTGTTTAATGTGTGGCGCCATGCCATGATTGGTATAAGAAGCTATAAGTTCCATGATTTTAGCTCTTCAAGCTAAGAATTTATAAGAACTACTGGATTACTAATGGAAATTGAGTCTAGTGAAAAGAAATTATCATTCACAATTTAATTTGAATCATATCAAGGATATGTACCCACATACATATTTAGCATTCAATCATGTCTTGAACAAGATTGCTTTTAATAAAAATGATACACACACAAAATAAAAAAAACTATAGGATTAGTCCAAGGCGACCCTGAGAACTCATTATTGCCTTAAATTATTCTTATATTTATTGTTTTTATTTATGAAATTCATAACATCAATGAATATAATTGATGAGATGTATATACCACTTTGGTTAAGAATGAACAAAAAAACAACCCCATGCAGATGCAAAGGTAGACCGGGAAATTTGGTTCTTGTCAAATTAAACACTAATCCTAAATTTCTGTACTTATTTTGTTATGGAAGATCCATATTCAATGAAATTGTCAAATATGAAATGAACCTGTTTAAGTCAACAATCTTGACCGTCCAAGTGGGCACAAGTGAAATGCATCTTCCTAATTAATTAATCATTTATCTTCCACGGAATTGTTGGAACCCAAGAAATTCATTGGTTATTTTTATCTTTTTTTTAAATGAATTTTTTTGGGGCAAAAATTTAAAAAAAGACTTTGATATATATATATATATTATGAACTTTTTTTTTGGGTGAAATATATAATATGAACTTTGTTATAACATGTCTAAATCAAACTTTGTTCTAGAAACGTGTATATTTTTATCTCCAACTATTAAGGCCCTGGTTGTTTAAGTTTTTTCATGAAAAAAATACTTATTTTATGAAATTTTAGGATGTTTATTTAAAATTTGGAAATAATTTTTTAAAAATTAAATATATTTCTAATTATTTAAGGAGTTATTTTACATAGCTTTTGAAAACAATCTGATATGATAAATGAAATAGAATATCATAAAAAACGTAGATACGTAAAAATATAATAAAAATTTAAATTAACTAAATAAAATTACTATTTATAAATAAAAATTCATGAATAATCAAACATAAAATAATGGTTGATTTTTATAAAATATAAAAAAAAATTTTCAATCTCTAAAATATCTAAAAATTACTTACTTTTTAATCTTAAATTAATGAGCCCTAAAAAGGCAAAACCAAAATCGATTAGTTTTCTTCAATTGCCGATACTTGTAATTCTAATAAGTTATTCTTCAAGCAATTGCAACCTCCCATCTTTTTGTCATTGAAGTATGCCCACAAAGATAAGAAAAGGTAACTAATGAAACAAAATCAATAAAAGCATCAAGCTATAATCTTTTTCTTGATTGACTCTTCAAATTGTCGGTGTGTGTGCATTTTGGGCACCAAAAAAATTGTCCGTTTTGCATTTAAATGAGAAAAATTAAAGTCAAAGACAAAAAGAGAATTAATTTTAATTATATCCTCTCATATATGTATTCTTTACACGTGCATACCCCTTCACTCCGCGCATTGATTTTTCTTTCTTGATTAGTTAAAACCAATAAGAATTTTATCAATTCCTTATGAACATTTTATTCATGGATATAAGAAACCAAAACACACAACGTGCAAATTGACATTCAGCTACAATAACGTTTTCATATGTCTCTGGGTGACTTTGGGCTTATTTTATATAAATTACTTTTTGAATTAATTTTAAATATTTTAATTATAATTTTTAAATTAAAAAATATTTTTTAATCATTTTGAAAATAATAATGATACCAGTATTTTTGGGTGAAAGTATTACTAATTTTTAAAATTGAAATATGATAAATTTTATATAACTATCTAACTAAGTCAGATTCAAGCATTGTCAAAGTTTAATAAGTGCCAGCACATCTATTTTTATTTTAAATTTTGAGTATATAAACGAAACAAAATCAACACAAGTATAAGGCTACAACATTTTCTTGTTTGACTCTTCAATTGTCTATGTATACACACACACAAATGCGATTAAGTCAAGATAATTGAGAGATCAATTAATTTTGGAGATATCTCTTATGTATTTTTCTTTAGAAGAACATGAATGAGTACACAGGACTCAATCACTCTACATATTTTCCATTCTAACAATTAGTTAAAACCGGTAAGAATTTTATCAATTCCTTAATGAACTTTTCCTCATGGACAGATACGAAACCTCATAATTAAGAGGCAACGTGCAAGCTGACATTATATTAAAAAAAATATTTTATGCCTTGGGTAAATTTTTGGGCTTCTTTTTTCATATATGGTGGTATTTTGTAAAGAAAGTCACGATCGAAGTGATAACTTGTAAGGAAAGAAACAAAATAGAATTGCGTATTTGTATATGCAAGGTTAAAAATAAATTAATGAGAGTGGATTAAAAGTTAAAACTAATGCATTTAAAAATGGAACTTTACGTTGGTCGAAGTCCTAGGTATTGACAGAAAGATGACAAATAATTATAAATAATACCCTAATAAAACACATAGCTCAGCTAGTAAGGGACTGTGTTAGCTTAATTAACGATCTTGAGTTTAAGTTTTATGTAGTAGTTGCATTAAATGTTTAATAAAAAATCTTGTTTTCTGACCAGACTTGATCTAAATTAGCCGAAATTGGAAGAATTTGGATATTGGGTCACAAGCCAATAATAATTTAAAAAAAACCCAAGAAGAAGAAGAAGAAGACAAATAATAAAACCTACACTGAAACATCAAATTTACTGTGACAATTTCTAATTGTGCTTTTAGAAGGAGAGGGTCGAAGGTCACTTTCGATTCATTCAGCTCAAATAGAAAATTTCAAGTTAGGGAAAACATAGTAAAAGATTAGCTGTAATTAGTTTTTGGTTTGGTGGCTAGTTAACGCACAACTTGTTCGTACTAAATTCTCGGTTAAAATAATATTTGATCTCTTAATTTTATTTATCAGTTATAATTAGATTAGTCTTTTATGTTTAGAAAGTCACAAAATAATTTCATAAATGAATTTGAAGCATGCATTTTCAAATATGCTCTCAAATTTTAAATTCAAGGAAGATTTTTAATATACACCCACATAGGGAGAATATTTTCACTCTTTTTCCGTTCCTTTTCAAAGAAAAGTGAGCAGAAGAATGGAGAAAAATTCTGACTGATACAATAATACGAAATACATTATTCATAATATGGCCGTGCAAAATACATGAAAATACGTGTATTATAGACTATATTGTAACTGTTAATTTGAATTTTAAACAATTATTAATATTAGTTTTCCATATGGGAAAATTAAATTATATCATGAGCCGATCCATTGTGGGCATGGTGTGGTCGATATATCAGATATCCGGGTCCGGATCCTCTCCTCATCCCTTTTTTTCTTTTCTTCTCCTCATCCTCATCTCCACTCTGAAATAGTAAAATGAATATTATCATATAAAAATAAAAACAAATTTAAACTGTTAAAATTTAACCTGCACAGTTGTATATTGTTATTATTTTTTTAAAATTAAACATTTTTATTTATTTTATTGCAGTTATAAACTATCTAGATTAAATTTTAATAGTTTAAAATTATTTATTTATTTTTTAATAAAATATTATGACGATTGTTTTGTAAAATAATTGAATCTGAACCTTTTATTTTTTTTTTAATCAAAGGTGGAGATGGGGATGAGGAGAAGAAAAGGAGAGAAAGGATTAGGAGAGGATCTCCTTCCCGAATATCCTTACGTAAAAAGTAAATAAAATTAAGATATAATATTATATATGTATATAATAGAATATTACTTTGAACTAAATTATATAACAAAATGACGATGAAATTTTTAGCCTCTTCAATAAGCCTTATTCATCGATTTGGTCAGTTAAGTTTGCTTCAATTATTAATTTAATCCTTATTATTTGAAGAAGTTTGTTAAAATTTATGACATAGGTTATGGAATATTGAATTGGCAACCATGATGATTAATGAAAAACAAGGTAATTATTAGGCAGTGAAAATAATAGACTTAGAAATTTTAAAAAGTAAAAACAAAAACTCAACATAAAGTACTAAATTGTTAAAAATTAAACTCAGTTGAGGAGCAATTTGTTCTCATTTAATTACATATATACATGTCATGTCATTAATAAATAGGAAAATACAATTATTATTATTATTAGTTCCTATATTTTTTTAATTTTATTTTTAATTCTTGCAGTTTTTTTTGTGTTTTTAGCCCTTATAAAACTACAGGAACTAAAAATACTGCAAATACTGAAAAAAATATATAGGGACTAAAGGTAGAACTTGATGAAACTATAGGAACCAATAATTATATTTTTTCCTTGATAAATGTTACACATCAGATTAATTTTGTGAGCCAATTTATGTTTTAAAATTTAAAGGACTAAAGTGATAATCAAAAAATTGCAAGAGGTCATATCAATAAAAATTAAACTTGAGAGATAGATTCAAGAAATAAGACAGATTTACCAGGAAAAAAAAAAGAAAAGAAAAGCGAGATTTAAGAAAGAAGACAGTAAACTTTCATTATCCCATATAATATATTTACATGTTACATTATCACTTCGACTTAGGGTCTAGAGAATGTTCACGTTGGGTACATAATTCCCACCAACCGAATAGATGTTAGTTGTATCTTTCTTTGACTCTTCACAATACTTTAAACTCGTCATCAATCTGACCCAAAAAATTAAAAAAAAAAAAATCATCAATCAATCATAACGCATTACTTGTTCTTTCGACTTTTCTTATATAAGGCCTACTTCTCAGTCTCACTCCCACCCATATCTCTACCACCCTCCATTTTTTTTATCTCTATCAAGAAAACAGAACAATTATTATTAGTTTTCAACAATAACAATGGCACCTGCGAGACCTTGTTCCTTTGGTTTGAATCATAATAATAATACTCTTGGCCTTCTTCTTCTTCTACTTCTCGTTCTACTTCTCAGTAAATCATCATGTGAGGCTTCCGAACTGAGACTTGATTACTATGCGTCGTCCTGCCCTACTGTGTTTGATGTTATTCGCAAGGAAATGGAGTGTGCTGTGCAATCTGATCCTCGTAATGCAGCCATGGTTCTTCGTCTTCACTTCCATGACTGTTTTGTCCAGGTCTGCTTCCTTCTTCACTGCTTATCATTTCATTAACAAATATATTTATATATATATATATATATATATAGTAAGTGTGTATTCAGAAAGGGATATATATATATAGAGAGAGAGAGAGAGAGAGCATGTTTAAAACATGCATACATGGGTTAAGATATATGGAGAGATCAGGTTAAACTCTCTTTAGGATATATTCACTCTAGATTTATGTTCTATAAAGTTCATGCCTAGAGGAATATAAGAAAATTGATTATATGGAATGCACAATGTTAAAAAAAAAAATTCTTTTCTCCATATCCATTTGAGATTTCAATAAAATTTTATGTTTGCTGTTGAGAACCTATAAAATATTGCTAATAGTTTTGAACCCTGTAAAGAGGAGTTAAAAAAAATAAAAGAAAAGAAAACCAGAGAGGATATTTATAGAAGTTTTTTAAATAAGACATATTTTTTAACAATATTTTCAAAGGCTTAGTTGTTCACAAAATATAATGACATCATGTAATCTATAACCGATTTCACTTATTGGAAAATGTTTGTTATTGCTGTTGCTATTGTTGTCATTGAGGGCTTAAGACAGCCTTCATCCTTTTTATAAATAGTGAAAAATAATCATAATTTACACACACAAAAAAACATAATTCATATATAGTTTACCTTGTTACAGATTTTGAGATGCAGCCATAAATAATTGAAAATTTCTTAACTTTGATGCTCGAGTTTTCTGTAAACCTAGCAATAAAATAAAGGTATCTCGACTCTTTATGAAAAAAATTTCATAAGATAGGACCAAAATACTTTGATTTCTTGTGTTTTGTAAAGATGATTATACTTTATTATACATGTGAATTTGGATTTTAATATGAAATTTTAATTTTTTTGATTAATATTATTTATTCAACAAATTCAATTGATTGATACGAGTTGATTTTTTTTACGATAAATTGACGAAAGAACTGCCAGTCAAGTTGGTCCCCACGGTATAGTAATCTGATTATTTAATTGTGAGACATAATATATATATATATATATCAATATATATATATATATATTGATATATATGTATATATATTATATGGCACACACTTTAGTTGGTATTTATTGAGGTGTTTATGCTTCACGAGTCATATGGTTCTTTGACTTTCATGCATGCTTATAGGTATAGAATATATGTTTCAAACGACGGTACTAGGATTAGGTGCGAGCACACAAGGATTTCAGGTTATTGAGTTTCTATACACGTACTTAGATATACTTTTTATTCTTTAATTTTATATAAAATTTTAATTTAATTTTTAAATTTTATAAAATATATTTTTAGTCCTTTAATTTTAAAATTGATAATTTCAAATAATTATTTTTCATGTCAATCATTATTATGTTTTTTACAAAAATTAAATTTAATAAATCAACATGTAAGAATATTTTATTAATATTTAAAAGTTTAATGTAAAAAAATTTTTATAATAAAATTAATGATATTAAGGTTAAAAGACTGCAAATACACCTTATAAAATTAAGAGATCAAAATAAAACTTTATATAAAGTTAAAAAATTAAAAGTATATTTTAGTTTTTTCTAAGATAAGAGGCTTTCAAACATGATGACAATTGTTTACGCTTTCTTCACAACTAACACATTATCTTTAATAAAAAAAACCATATATATAGTTATAATTTAATGAGAATATATGATATGGTGGAATGGAATGAAATATAGGGATGCGATGGATCAGTTTTGCTTGACGATACAGTGACTCTGAAAGGAGAAAAGAAAGCCTCCACCAACATTCACTCTCTGAAAGGCTTCGATCTGATTGACAGAATCAAGAACATGGTTGAATCTGACTGCCCCGGCATCGTCTCTTGTGCTGATCTTCTCACCATTGCTGCTAGAGACGCTGTCATTCTGGTACATATACATACATACATACCTACATATAAGCATCACTTTTTATTTGATAGTTTCAATAAATGAAAATATTGACGTTGTAGGTTGGTGGACCTTACTGGGATGTTCCTGTGGGAAGGAAAGATTCTAAAAGTGCAAGTTTTGTACTTGCCAACACTAACCTTCCAAATCCAGATGACAGCCTTCTCTCCATCATTTCCAAGTTTCTCTATCAAGGCCTTTCAGTCACTGATATGGTAGCCCTTTCAGGTAGTGTATATCAATCATCATTATGAGTAACAGATAGAGAGTAACATGATGAGAAAGTATGATATTAACAATGTTTTCTTGTATTGCTCTTTTTTTTGTATGACTTCATGATTGGAAAGTATTCCTTCCAGTCTTATTTCTAAGCTGTTTGAGACACTTTTCATGTGTTTTAAGAAAAATGATGATGTTGCTTTATTTTTTTAAAGCAAAAAACATCACAACTTCGAAATTATACTCTTATTAATTAAAGAAAGATAATGAGTCACCTTATTATTCATGCAAATGCTTTTTTAAATCAAAAGGTAAAATTTAAAAAATGTTTCATCTTTTTCTACTACTTTTCATTTTTCTAGAACTCTTTATAAATATGATTAGAGTAGCATCGACCCGATGATCACCAAGTTAAATTCTCAACTTCAAGTTTCAACAAAGAGAATTAATGATAGTTAAATTTTCAATAATTCATACAGTTGCAGTCTTGCAATTAGGAATCCCAATTGCAAATTAAGAATTACATTTAGAATTTAAATGTCTCATTTGTAATTATTTAAATTAATATTTACAATTTATTTTTCACAAATTTTTATCCAAGATCTAATTCTCATTAATTCCTAGAAACTTACTCATTCTCCCGTTTAGAAATCCAGTAACTTTAGATGATTCACAAATCTTCACCACTAAACTCTTCATACCTTGTTATTTTTTGATCACAAAACCTACCTTATTCAGGAGCTCATACAATCGGCATGGCACGGTGTTCAAGTTTCCGATCGAGGATTTATGGCGACTTTGAAGCGACTTCCGAGAAAGACAGCACCTCGGAGACTCACCTGAGAGATCTGAGATCCATGTGTCCACCATCATCAAAGGGATCATCATCAGACAATAACGTAACAGCAATGGACTACGTCACCCCTAACCTCTTTGACAATTCTTTCTACCACTTGCTTCTGAAGGGCCAGGGATTGCTTAACTCAGATCAAGAACTGTATTCGAGTGTGTTTGGGATTCAAACAAAAGAGCTCGTGAAGAAGTATGCTTTGGACCCTCTTGCTTTTTTCCAGCAATTCTCAGATTCGATGGTGAAGATGGGGAATATTCTGAACCCAGAAAGCTCTGTTCATGGAGAAGTCAGGAAGAATTGCCGATTTATTAACACTTGAAGCTAAGTTAAATTTTCTGAGACTGGTTCGTGTCTTGTTTGTTGTTCAATAACCCCAAAGAAAAATGTTATTTGTGTTATTTCTGTGTTGTGAGAGCTGATACTAATTAGCAAGACCCTGTAAAATGAGAAAGTCGGAAAAGATGAAGTTCGAAATTGTTACTTTTTCACCCAATTTAATTTAAATATTTATACAAGTTGTCCTGAGGTATATCATAACACCTTTTTTTTTTCCCGGCCGAATTGCAAAGCCTTTTCATTTTTGATTTTGCTCCGGGATTCCAGATTTTTGACTTCAAATATTCCAGTTGACATGCACTTCTGTGCATATTTCCCACCAGAAATTTAATCTAATCATTGCTCGTAACCTTAGCTTATATTGACAAATTTCATGAACATGAGCTTCGGTATTGTTCACTTGGGCTGTGGACTGAGAAATTTGGACTACTACAACACAAGTAAGTGATTTTACAGCCCAGAGCAAAGTGCAAAAGGGATTCAAGAAAAGAGTGGATCTGAAAAGAGTTTTCTTTCTTGTAAATTGATAATGTTTTAAGAAAAAAGTGTGGTCGGGAAACAGGTCCAAAAAAATCAAGAAGAAGAAGACTCGTTCAATTCTTCCTTTGTCAACTAATTAGTTATTTCTTTACCCAAATTCAAACCAAACTTTATGTCACTTTGGAATCTGACTTTGTCATGATTTCCAATTTCCATTCAAATGCACCCATTCTTCAACATAAAACAAAATATTTAACTGCCCGTTTGGGACACATAATAGGTTCAACATGACTCATCTTTATATATTTTTTTCCTTATTTAATTTCAAATGATTTAATAACTAAAACTCATGCTAAGCTCAGAGTAATTCAAGTCTATGAATTTTCACATTAGTAGCATTTTTAAAGCACACGATAAACTTAGTATAGGGAATGAGAAGGGTACTTGGTTCATTTGATCAAGAGAGTTGAACTAACTTATTTTGAGCTCTTGAGTTAGAGTCTTGAGATATGCCGTCATGTTAAACAAGCATCCTCCAAGTACTTGTGAGACGTCATTGGTAATAATGATGCCACATAGGGGATTTGGATTAATCAGAATGGATAATGGTAATACCCCTAAGTTTTTCAATATATCAAGTACTGGAATAAAAAAGGAAAAATTTCACTAAGGATCCCTTGATCGTAGATATTAAAAAAGAAGACTCTAGAAATTCTGATATATTACTGCAAGGCTAGGGCTTTGATTTAATATCAAATTTCAAAGCCAAATGACAATATTGCTCCTCATTGTAAGAAAAAAAAAACATTGTTCACAAGTCAAACACGTCTTGCAAATTGCAAAAACCACATAAAGGACGACGAGGCATGTAGTAAGCTTTTCAATCTTTTAAATCTGAAGATCAGTGACACCTTTGTCACCGGAGTTCCTACCTAAGAATCTCATTTAACCTCATAGCTTCTTTTGGTTATGTTGTTCTTTCCTCAGCTTGGATGTAGAAGAGGGTTTTGTTGACCATTTGGCTGAAGAAGAGTTGTGGGTAATTGTGAAAAACTGCTAGAAGCACAATGCATATAAGTTAATTATTTCTTGATTTTGATAGTCGTTAGTGAAATTTCTGTTTCAAATTGGAAAAATAGTGAAAGTTAATCTCTTGATTTTGTAAATCATCTTTTGTCAAAAATCTTATTCAAAAGTTAAGTAAAATTTCAATTGAGGTATATCATTATAAATCAATGCAGTTACAATTAGCTAAGTCATGCTGTACATTGCCTAAACAATAGTTGTTAAGTAGCTTCCTCGAATTTGGGGCTTATTCATACTTTATACCTTTGGTACTCTGCTTTATCCAATTACTAGTCCATCTGTAAGCAATAAGCTGGTGAAAGTATTAGAGTTCATTGGCAACAATTGGGAAAATTTGATAGGGCAACTCTGGTGTTAGATGAGTTGAACAAAGATATGGAGAAGTACCAATAATTGTTAAAGTCAAGTCATCCTAAGGGCACAAGAAACGTTGGTGGTGGTGTGTACTTGTTAGTAGCATGTATAAAGACTTATTCATTCTCTAATATTTAGTTGTTGATCCCCTCACTATAGTTATTTATTTGCACTATTTGACTTGTTTCTATGCAGCTTTTTTTTGTTGCAAAAATTCCCCTTAGTTGAACAAGGCGGATTTTATGATGTAGAAGTAGTCAATGAGTGGACAAAGCAATGAGTTAATGATAAAATTAGCCTTGAGAAGAGAAGCTCGCACATAGGATTTTGCAACTCCATTGGATAGGAACTACCAAAAGAACTCTAAACACAATGCCATGCTACAATTCTTTGCAAGTGACAATGCTTAGAAGTGGTAAAATTGAAGTACTTATTCCAATTATTAACAATGTCAATGTTATAACTTTTGGCATGTTATTGTTGTCATGAAATTATTTGAAATTGTTTTTTTATATATATGAACAAGTCATTAGATAGGAATGAATCAATTGTTTATATTCATTTGCAATTGTGTTTAAAAGGAAAAATGAATTATAAATATGCAATTCTATGTAAACTTAGAGTGTTGTAATGAACAAGTTAGGTAAGGAAATCAACAACATTTTGCAAGGCATACAACAAAGTGACAAACAAGCCATTCAAATATGAAACCAACATTTGAAATTTTTCCAACTTAGTATTGTAATGAACAAGTAGGTAAGAAAATTAACAAAGTGTTGTAGGATGATGAACCACACATCGTAGAGTAATGAATAAGTCACTTGAAATTTTTTAAGTTAGTTGAAACCCAAACTCATACTGGTAGAACTAGTACATATTGGTACAAATAACTCATATTGGTATAACAGAGGTTGTTATAAAAACCCACACTTGTAGTGAACAAGTGAGGTGGGAAAATTAACAAGATGCTATAGGGTGACGAATCACACACTATAGGGTGACAAACAAATTACTTGAAATTTTTTAAGTTAGGTGAAACTCAAACTCATACTGGTAGAACTAGTACATATCAATATGAATAACTCATATCGATATCAACACACCATACTAATATAATAGAGGCTATTATAGAACCCACACTTGTAGTAAACAAGTGAGGTATGAAAATTTACAAGATGCTGTAGGGTGATGAATGATATACTAGAGGACGATGAACAAGGTACTTGAAATTTTTTAAGTTAGGTGAAATCAAACTCGTACTGGTAGACCTAGTACATATCAGTATGAATAAATCATATCGGTATCAACACACCATACTAATATAACAGAGGCTATTATAGAACCTATACTTGTAATGAACAAATAAGGTAGGGAAATTAACAAGATGTTGTAGGGTGATGAACCACACACTGTAACGATAGGGAGACAAACAAGTCACTTAAAGTTTTTTAAATTAGGTGAAACCCAAACTCATACTAATAGAACTAATACATATGAGTATATTAGTATCAAACAAACCAATATTGTAATGTCCTCTTTAACATTACTAGGACAGAACACACAACACCATTATGATAACCAGGATTAGGTAATTACTTAAATAAGGTTATCATAACAGATAAGGGTTTAAAATCAAGTCTAAAAGTTACGATCCTAAGAAACCCTTTCTGAAAAGATGTCTAGGCTCATCCAATAGTTTAAAATATATGGGAAAAGAATAAGAAGCATAGACACAATTAATATTACATACAAACATCAAATAGGGCAATTTGGAAATTACCCAAAATGCATCATTTTCCATAGAACATGTGTCATTTGTCGCTGCGAATGGCACAGAGGGAGAAGCCCCTTGTTGTGCAGTGTGCCACGACGCACAAGCCCTGCACCTTAGTGCGTTGCTACTATCATGATAGCACTCTTGGACTAACTTTCACATTTTGTCATTTTGCCATCTGATGTTTGATTTGAGCCATTTAAGTATTCATATATAACTTTATAAGCCACATAACTATTAGGACTGTTTTTCACCACAAAATTTCTTACCATTAAAAAGTCAAACACCTGGACACAAAATGACATTTTTTCTTTCAAAACTCACCTAAGGTACCCAAAGCCACCAACCAAGTGCTAATAGCCTAGGACTACTTACACCAACTCAAATAGACCATAATGCAGCTAATTAAATAGTTATATATCATTACATACATTCCAAACACAATTTGGCCTATAAAACCCCAATTCCACAATAATCAAAGGGTAGGCATAATTGCATAACAATGCCCTAACCATTCACACAATTACAATCATCACATTAACAATATTTGCACTAATATTTTGGCCTTTTATAATAATTTCCAACACATATATAACATCTTAGGTTGAATATACCTAAAATAGCATAACTCATCATGCAAGTGCACCGAAGAGTTGGCAATATATATAAATATTCAATTTAGTTACACCAAATACCAAGTAAAGAGTTATGTACACTAGCTCCCTAAATCCTTGGTAGTGTCCTTTCATTTGTCCTTAGCGGAGTCTTCACTTATAAAATATGACCATGGGAGTAAGTCGATGACTCAGTAGTCAAATAATCTAATCTATTCACTAATGTATTAAAATAATATATAAGTATATGAAGTGGCAAATAAAACAAGTCATTAGATACATATGAACACCTAATTATACTATTCCATTTTATACAATGCATGATCAATATTCTCTATCTTATATCCTCCTTATTTTTTCCTCCTAGATCTATGGGCTAAAAAAACATTAAGACCAAATGCATGTGACTGAACTAGTGCAAGCTTACCAATCATGGGATGCAACCTTGGCCAAAGATACCTTCACCCATTTTGGACCACAAATTCCACCTTTCTCAAACATTTGGAGTATCGTATGCCTAATCTACTTTAAAATAGTACTAAGACTTTCAAACAATAAGGAATGAACATCGGGGCTTCTACAATACTAGTATATCATATGGATTTCATACAATATGCCCCTACAACACTAGAGTGAACTCCTACTTTTTCACAATGATCATGCTTATGCTATTTTAATCATACGCATATTACACATTAGGAATACTCATATAACAAGTGCTAATATTTCAATTTATATCCAATTTTGCAATCATTTACAAATAAACATAAAAAGCGTTTAATCATAAAACAATACTTTAGTTCAATTTCACTTCACACAAGTTTTTCTAAAACATTAACCATTCAAACATAAATAATAATTTTCATAATAT